AAACAAAAGACAGCTTTTCAAAATAAAAAGAGCCCTATAAAGTAGCTCAGAAATTATGGGGTTTAGTCATAACTAGATAAACTGGTAGTGTAATTAATAACCACCCTCTATTTTTTTTTTTTTTTCATTGACAAACTATAGGAAAGTTGACTAGGTGATCTTTAAGCTCTCTTCACTATTAAATTTCATTGTTTCTAAGGTTAACACTGCACGGGGAAGTAACTTTTAACATGTAGGTGACTGTTCAGTCTCTGTATGTCAGTTATCTACTTTCTGAATATTTCCCTATTGATTTTCTCTTTAGTGATACATTTTAAGGAAATGTAAGATAATATTTAAAATTCATGTTGAATCATTAGTAACTTGATAAGCACAAATTCAAATGTGAATATCATGTATTTTAAAGTCAAAAATATAAAGCTAGTATTATTCGATATCTTAAATAGTTGATGTTATTTTTATATTTTCAGGCACTCATTGACTTTATTTTTATGCATTGACTTTAATACACTTCCATTTAACTATCATTTATTGAGCATCTACCTGTTGAAACACACACACACACACACACACACAGATGTAGGTGCAAGGGTACAAAAGAGAGCAAAATAAATCCAATTAGGAGATGGCAAGAGATTCATGATGCAGGGTAAGCCTCAAATGTGGACTAGACTCTTTCAAATATACACTGTGGGGAGGCAGGGGGGTGAAACCCAGCAATTGCACATTGTAATCAAAGGAATGAAAGTGGAAAAGTTCAGGGTTTGTCTGCTGATAGAAAAATTGACCCATGTGACTAGAACATGGTTTGTGCATATGTGTGTAGGTCACAGTCAAAGCAAGCCTGGCAGAGTGTGGAGTCAGATCAGTGTATGCATGCCCAGTTAAGGGTTTCAATTTTATGCATTATGAAATCAGGAATTGTCAAAGGGACTTTTTAACTCTGAATCAGAAGAGAAACAGAAAAAAAAGTATTTTAGTTGATAAGGTTTTAAGTAACCTAAGGAATTTGCAAGAACATACACTTAATGAGTAAGATGATGATTAAATAGGTAGCTGTTTGGAAAAAGAAATCATTATCTGGATTAACTTTTAACTAGAAAACTAGACGAGAGAAACACCAAGCACTGGACCGAGCACTGAAGGCCAGCTGAGGTTTCGAGTAGACCTACAACCCAAAGAATTATATTTTTATTTCACCAAGTCTCTGCCACTCAGTATAGTACAGGAGCAAATAAGTTGAATATCTGAAATTAAGTGTGAAAAACTAATTGACATTGAGGATTATGAGATCAGTTCAAATTTGAAAGGATGGACAACCAAAAGTCAGCAGGCAAATTCAAGAGAGAGTAAAGTGGGCAAGGGTAAAACAGTTTTAATTTACTTTTATTTCGCCTAACATGCATTTATGTGAAGTAATAAATGTGAAGGGACATATGTGAAAAAATATGTTTATCTAATACTCATAGTTATCCTATGGGATAGAGACTATTTAATCATCCCAATTTTACAGTTGAGAAAATTGAGTCCTGAGGAAGTTTTAAAAATGTACTCAGATCACTGAGACAGTTAATTCTCAACCTAGGGTTTGCATTCAATCATTATAAATGAAGAGTCAAGGTTCTTAATTACTGTACTATGCAATAATGAAATTAAAAGTAGGAGAGTGAGAAGCTACGTGAACACAGGCTGGGATCAAAGTAAAATTGACAGTTTAGTTTTAGAATAATAGCAGTTCTCGGCAGTTACAAGGCTTGGAGTATTGTAATAGAAGTGAAGGGCTGAAATAAAATGGAGGCAAAGCCACAGGATTTGAGGGTAAAAGAGAGGTTGATGTCTCTCCATAAAGTGTGAAGGAGCACTTGAAGTTAGAAGGGCAAATCAGCCCTGAGACCCCGTCCTTGTTCATTCACAGGGGCGGTTGGTACTTGGTACCAATAAGGGGAGATAAAAATGGAATTCCCCACAACCCCAACACACACAGGCACACATGCACGTATGCATGCATGCAAAAGCACACATCCAAGGGTAACAAACACCTTCTACCTGATAGAACCTTGGGACGGGGAAGGTCCTCAGAGAGAAGTAGGATTGCGTAAAGGAAATGAAGACATGACTTACATGGTAAGTACTCAATATGATTGCTAGATACTGGGAAACTGTGACTTCAAGCAAAACAATGTACAGAGGGTTCTCGAATAACATCCTTTCCTTCCATGATATTTTGTTATAACATTGATGAGCAAAAAAAAAATGGTTTTGTTATATACATGTTTCCACTTCAAGTCACAGCTTCCAAAAACCTATTGAGGATGTTAAGTGAGGACTTCTTGTAATCAGTAAAACATTTGGGAACTTTTGTTTGCTGTTTTTTAATGGAATAAGCTTTATAATAAACATTTTGTAAATGCCTGGCAGAAAAGACAGGCAATGGAAAGTGGTGGGAGGCACTGAATAGATTTTTAAAATATTATTTGGGGAAACAAAGTACTACTTATATAAACATTGACAACCGTGTAATTCTTTTATCTAATAACCCAGGTAAAAGTACATAACAAATACTGTCACTATTCATCAACTCCAAGAAAAACAACTGTTATTTCAGGTGAATTCTTTGTGTATGTGTGTTTTCATTGGACAGAAGGAATTGCATAAGCCAGTGCTTCTCAAAATGTGGTCCCTGGAATATTAGCATCAGCATCACCTGGAAACTTTTAGAAATGCACATTTTCAGATCCCACCCCAGGTCAGCTGAATCAGATATACCAGTCCTGCAGGTGATTCTGATGTGTGATAAAGTTTGAGAACCTCTAACCTAAATCAATGTGTGTGTATTTCTTTCTGCTTAGCTACCTGGAAATAAGATCCAATTCAACACTGACCTGCAAAAGTTAATTTTAGGTGCTTGTTCACGTGTGTTTCTGTGTTAATTATAATTGCTTTTTCTCATTTTCATTCTTTTGGTCTATACTGTACTTAATAAGTTGTAACCCTTTTGGAGTAAGTATGTATTAAACTAACCATCAATACAAATGTTTGGAGTCTTACTGAGAATTCGTTTTTAAAAATCTGTAACTGTAAAAGAATACATGTTAGTAATTTTTACGTATGCAATTTAGAAGAGTAAAAATATATGGTAAATTGTTAAGAAAGTGGATGAGGAAGATGGATTATTATTTAGTTGACATAGGAAAGGGCCAGGCATTGGCATTAAAAAGAAAAAGAAAACCAAACTTTGGATGATTCTGATGTATAGCCGTGGTAAGAATCACCAAATTAGAGGATATGAGAAAACAGACCTACAGCATCATGTATTTTGAAGAGTTTGGTGAAAATGATAATGATAATTCTGGGCCACAGCAACACTGACTATAAGAACGGTCTGAAGAAATGGTTTTAAAGAAAGGAAAATGTAATGCATCTAGTGTAAGCTTGAAAAAAAGCTGGGAAACTCAAAGAAAAAAACAGAGAGAAGGGGGTTGAGAACACTAAAGAAAAGTAAATGGCAGGTCAGTTGGACGAGATTCATCATGTCTTTTTGAAAAGTGCGGTGAGTTAACATCCTATCTGCAACTGTGGACAAAATCTATGTGGGTTCAAGGTGCACACTGAAAACTCAAAAGCATTCTTCTCAGAAATTCCACCTTAAAAGCAATATACATCCAGCTGACCCAGAAATAGTTAAACTGCAAGACCAAATACCATCTTGGGGAGGATGGATGGTGCCTTTATTCATTTTCAGATGTGGAAAAAATGTTTGTCTTTATATATTTATAATCATCCCAAACGTGCTCCTGATAACACCTGAGCAAACTTTCTCTCTGGCTGTCACTTCAATAGAAATTCACTGAACATTAATATTTACTTTGGAATGAGACAGATTTCTGTAACTTCTTAGGAATACAAAATAAATCTTGAAATGCAAATATTCAACATTTATGAATAATAAATATATATTTAAAGAAATGATATTCATATGGTTTATTCATAACCTAAGCAGGTGTGACTCTTAAATAATCACATTACAGTAAATCTTTTATTGGAAGAAGAAATATTATCAAAAAGTTACTATTAAATTTAACTAAAAATGCCTCCCAATAATCATTCTGAGACAGCATGATTATTTATATTTGCTTTAGAAGTATTAAAGTTTAGATCTATTATCTTCACTATCATTCTAGTAGCAAGCATTCTTCATTAAATTTACCATATCCTATCTAATCAAATTTATCAGATTATTGAGTAAGCTGCCAGGACTATATTTACAAAGAGCCTCAGAGATAGAACAGATGATCAAATGAGCAGGTTTAGAGTAAATGCTTGAAAAATATTTTCTTATATTGCAATGAGCATAGTTAGCCACCAGAGAGAGCTCAGTCACTATATTTTATTAAAGACAGTAATTTACTTTCCCTCAACTGAATAGAAATTCTCTATCCACTATATCCTAAAAGAAACAAAGCTATTGCTTAATGATTTATAATATCCAGTATCGAATACTATAAATGACACTTTCAGGTTTAGCATTTGAGAAATAATGTGTCTCTGCCAACAAGAGTGTTAGTGCTGAAGATTGCAAGGGAGATTTCCACTGGGGAAAAGGTGCAGGTTGCATACTTATAGGTAAGTTTCTTACTCACTAATGGGAAGGTTTCTTCACACACTAGAAATAAATGCTTTATGAAAACAACTCAAAGGCTACTTTCTAATAACATCTTGTTAACTCCAAAGAACTGAGGAACAGTTTTTTAAAGTCATATGACAAACATAATCAAGAAGTAATCAGTAATAAATGGAACTTGATAAGAACCTGAAATTAATAGATCTTAATATCTTTTAATTGTCTGATTCTCAGCAGGAGGAAATTTTTACTATTAAGCAGGGTCACTTTATTTCACAAAAAGTATAGAACTGTACTAATACAATTTTAAGTTAATCAATATTCAGTCCTTTCTCCTGCCCCCAACCGTGATAAGTAAACAAAATGAAGAAACACATACACTCAAGCTTATCCTCAGGTCTTCCTCTTTCAAGCAGAGACAGGTAACAGACAATGTCCTTCAGGTGGATTACTTCTGGGGAACTTGAATTTGCAGGAGAAGTAGTCCGGGGAGGGGTGATGGCACCTTTATTCATTCTCAGACCTGGAAAAACAAATTGTCTTTATATTTTGTTAATTATTTACAGTGATCTCAAACAGAAAACAAATTAAGAAAATAGAGAGAGAACACACAGGCTACATAGAAAATTGTATTTTTAAGGCATAGAATAACCAAATTCTCTGGAATATCAGTATAGCAGCTAGACACAGCCTACGACTGTTGTAGATAAAGGAGAGTTCTTTGGGATCCACAGACATGGCACTGCTCTATCACCCACTGGATGGTATTCGGGTCAGAATAATATTACCCTAGGTGAGTTGGTGCACATGTGAATGCTTGAAGACCCACTTCCCTATCTCACCTTTCTCTGCTTTAGGTAGTGACAGCTATAAATCTGTTGGGAAGATACTTAAAATGGACTTTTCACAAAATACTAAAGAAAAAAATGTGAGTCTTTCACAATATAATTTCTCTATTGATAATAAGCAATCATCCATTCATAAAGTCATGTATTTGTTTCAAATATTTGCCAGTACCATGAAGAAGACATCCTTTTTCACCATCAAAAGATTTGCCCATGAGTAAGAATAAAGAGAACATAAGCAAAACTCTGGATAAACATGATGGATATTAGAGAGGTAAAAACATATTAGGGGTTTGGTTTTTAAATGGTTCTCACTTTATTTCTGAAACCTATTATCTGTGTCGGTACTATGACAAGGATATAGGTTGCTTATTACCTGTCTGGTGATAATCTAACTGAAATATGTTCACAATAACTTGGTAGTTCTATCTTACCCAGAAGCCACTGAAATCAGATTGTGTGTATCTGACAAGGCCTGAAGACAAACCCCAATTATCCTTTGAGGGATATATGACATTTTTAGAGGTATTTGGGAGAAATAACTAATGGGTTGAATGACTACTAGATTCCTAATCAACCAGAAGCTACTGTAAGGAATAATTGGAACAAAATACAGTTCTAGAACTGTGTTCTTAGCACAGATCTACCTGACTGCGTATCTCTCGCTCTAGTCTAGTTTTCAATTTGTAACTTTCCATGAATACCCATCATCTCGTCAAGACATCTGAAGATTCCCAGGCATATAATTCAATGTGTTGTGAAATGTCCCAAGTTAGTTTTATCATTGGTGATGTTGTCACTAATAAAGGGAACTATTTATTGAGTGCCTAATATATGACTGAAATCATGGTAGGAGCTTTAACACATATTATCGCATATTATTCTTACATGAACCCTGTGAGGTAGAGTGCATTTTCTCCATTTTACAGATTAGGGACAGTCTTACAGATTTCAATTTCCCAGAGTTTCATAACCAGCAAGACAAGCTCATCTTCTTGTTTCTACACTGGTAGCTTACAAACCATTTTTGTTCAAGGTCAATCATAAAAATGTAAGAAAAATAATTTACATCTTAACACAGTGCACATGCATGCGCGCACACACACACACATTAGTGGGATTCATAATTGCTCAAATATTTTCTTTTCTATATTAACCTACTCCTATTCTATTCTTAAAATTTTTCTCAAAGACCATCTAAACTGAACTTACTAGCCACCAATGGATCAAAAATCACAGTTTGAAAAAAACACTGCTTTTTGTCTTTCATCCTTTCTTTTTCTGAGACAGAGTCTCACTCTGTCACCCAGGGACTGGAGTGCAATGGTGTGATCTTGGCTCACTGCAACCTCTGCCTCCTGGGTTCAAGTGATTCTCCTGCCTCAGCCTCCTGAGTAGCTGGGATTACTGGTGCATGCCACCACGTCTGGTTAATTTTTTTTTTTTTTTTTTGTATTTTTAGTAGAGATGAGGTTTCACCATGTTGGTCAGGCTGGTCTCGAACTCCTGACCTCATGATCTACCCACCTCAGCCTCCCAAAGTGCTGAGATTACAGGTGTGAGCCACCATGCCTTGCCCCTCTCTTTTTTAAATGAACTCTTACTTATTTTAAATGTGGCATTATGTTTTACATTAATTCTACTCCTGTTTATAAAGTTATCAACAGAGACATGTATTGTAAATGGACTTTCCTTTTTAATAGAAGTATCAATGTATATCTAATACAAACTAATAGTTATTTATGAACCAAGGAAGGCAGAAAATTGAAGACAATCCTGAGCTTTAAAAAAAAAAAAAAAAAATGACCCGAATAATTGAAACTAGTCAACTAAAGCTCAGACAGCTGCAGGAATAAGCAGTTCCAACTTATGATAAAAAACATTTGGTGCTGACCCTTGACATGACCATAATTTTCAGACTTGGAGAACACAGCTCTTGAATTATGATCGGATAAGCTGTGACCTAACTCATCTTGTGATGAGCTAATCCTCTTTTCCAACGTTTCCCTCTGTGGTACTGAAATGATTTAATCAGCTTGATTTAACTCTTTTATAGAAAAATTCAGAACAAAACAAAAAAGAAATAAAAGAACATGCTCTGACATTTATTTGAAAGAAAGTCAAATATATTATAGATCTTCACTTTATTTAGAACAAGGCATGATCATTTATACTTACATAACTAAGGTACACAGTGTTTAATTATCAGCTTTCAGCATATTGAACACAAACAATTGAGAATGTAAGGATCACATAATTTTGTCTTTTCTGTATGTAATGTATAAATTAAGCATGAACGTACACATATAATTTGTATTTAGCACCATGTTTTTGAAGGAATATGCTACTGTACTAAATTATTTTTGTTTGAAAAAATAAGTAATATTTTCCATTTTCTTTTCATGAAACATTGTTAACTGAACATTTAAAGCTGTATCATGTATTTATTACATGAAATATGGATAACTGAATGTTTAAAGCTGTATCATGTATTTTCTTTCCATGAAATATTAACTGAATATTAAAGCTATATCACATATTTAATTGTGTCATAGTTTTACATTTAAATAGCTTAAAGTTTATGTAAAAGAAATATGGGCATATATTCAATCTATACATTGAAGAACTAATCAACTCTTCCTGAAGTCCAATAACAGCCAAATATGAGGGGTAAAATATGTTCTTTTGCCATGATTTATAGAGTGCACTGAAGAAGAAGATAAAATGTCAAAGATCTTTTATTATTATTACCCAATAAAAAGAAAATTGTAGAACAGGACTTAGTTTTTTAAAGACTATTCTTTTTTAAAAAGTTTGAGGCTCACAACAAAATTGAGACCGTACAGAGATTGAACACTGCTTTACATCTTTCCTTCATTTTCTTTACTAAAGCCTTGCTTATATCAAATATCTCTCTCTGTTTCACATTAATTCTACTTTTGTTTATAAAGTTATTACCCACTACACATGCATATTCTTCCCCACTACCAACATTCCCCACCAAAGTAGTACATTAGTTACAATTGGTTAAACTACATTGACATCTCATTACTATCCAATCTCTATAATATACATTAGGGTTCTCTTTTTGTTGTACATTCTATGAGTTTGGACAGGTGTATAATGATGTGTCCACCATTATAGTATCTTTCAGAGAAGTTTCACTGCCCTAAAATATTTTTACTCTGTTTATTTATCTCTGCCCTCCCACCCACCTCTGAACCTTTTATTTTCTCCCTAATTTTGCTTTTCCCATAGTGTCATAGAGTTGAAATCATACAGACTGGCTATTTAGACTGGCTTTTTTCTGTTATTAATATGCATTTACATTTCCTCCATGTCTTGTTATGGCCAGATAGCTCATTTCTTTTTATCACTGAGTAACATTGCATTGTTGGGATGTACTACAGTTTATTCATTCATCAACTTGATTAAATTTTGAGGTGTTTAATTAATAAAAAAGCTCAGCCGGTTACTGTGACTCATGCCTGTAATCCCAGCACTTTGGGAGGCCGAGGCGGGCAGATCACAAGGTCAAGAGATCGAGTACCTCCTGGCCAACATGATGAAACCCCATCTCTACTAGAAATACAAAAATTAACTGGGCGTGATGGTGCATGCTTGTAGTCCCAGCTACTTCGGAGGCTGAGGCAGGAGAATCGCTTGAACCCAGGAGGCGGAGGTTGCAGTGAGCTAAGATTGTGCCACTGCACCCCAGCCTGGGTGGCAGAGCAAGACTGTCTCAAAATAATAATAATAATAAAAGTAAAAACAAAATTAAAATTAAAAAGCTCACAGGTTTATTCCTGCTCCCAGCACCTCCCCAAGATCAGCCCACTTTCTCTTATGTTTCTTTATATTATGTTGTCATTTATTTTTCTGAAAGCAGGCCCCATCCTCAATCTAACTCCATAGGGATTATTTTTACACCCTACTGGACTTTTATTTTTATTTTTATTTTTTTGCCCTTTCCCTAAATCTGGCTGAAACTCACTACTTATGTTCCTCGAATGCAGTTCACTACCCTGAAGAAAAGTCCTTTTTCCTTTTAAGAAGTTTGCACTAATCTAATGATTATTCAGAAGCTTAGGAGACAACATGTATGGCAACCAAGAAGTTGCAAGCCAGGCTTCTTTACTACAGCTGAGATGGTAAAATGACAACATGAAATAGTAAGTGGGATCCTCCCTAACAGCAATAGCCTCTGGTGAGGAAGCTCAAAATTCTATCTTTAATTAACAAAGGTCAATTTTACTCACCCAGTCATCAGCGAAATTCTCTCTTTATAACTAAAACGAAACATATAGCTGGGCAAAACAAAAGGGTGGGTTTGTTTGTTTGTTTGTTTGTTGGCCTCAAGTGAACAGAACTAAATATTGCTTCAGAGCTTCAGAGTAAATATTGCAATTGACACTTAAAGTAGTATAATCTGCAGATTCTTCTACTTGCCCTAGGCTATACTATTTTAAATATTTCATCACCAAAGTGAAGAGTGTGTGTGTGTGTGTATATATATATAAAATAAAATACATATATGTGTATGTGTATATATTATAATATACAACAAAGTACAAAATAAAGTGAAAAATAACCATTGTAACTGGAGCATATTAGTCTCATTAGGAATAATTATCTTGTACTTAGCATTTATTTCTGTTAAAATAATTTCATTATATAT